ATTTGTAAGCTTAAGTTTTTATAAACAAACATGCATTTTTTTGCTATTCGCATGTCTGCTTTTGTGTGGAAGACCGACTTTTTGATGAGTTGATTAATTTCACTTAATTGAATTCTTATATAGCAAGTCACTGTTTGTGAATAAATACATAAATGGTTTTTCCTCTGTTGGATCAAGGTACACAATAATTCGTATGAATTAATGGAGACGTATACCCATTATTATCGGGTAGAAATTGGTGATTTTACTTTGTCTCTGCTGAACCTTAAACACAGCTTCGTGATCACTGTAATGGCTCCATCCCAGCTTTGTAACTCTATTAAACTTTCTTGCGTACTCACCTTAGCGCGTAGGAGATTTTCACCTTCGGTGACCGTCAGTAAAATTTTTTGCTTAAAATATCTGTAAAACATTTTAACCCTTTAACGGCATATTTTAATAGACTTTTATGAAACTTAATTTTTAAAGAGGGTCAAAAAGACCCATGCAGATGGGAGTTAAGCGGCTAAAATTTCTCACAAAATTTTATTATAGGTCTCTACTTGACTATATAGTAGAATCAAGCAAAGTTCCGCCTTTAAAAAAATCGTAAAAAAAAAAATATTTAATTCATTGCCGAGAAAACACCACATACAACGCTATAAGTCGGTTTCCGCTGCCAAAAATTCTGCCACTTCCTTTAATTATAATCGCAACAGATCGCCTGCATAGTGCTGGATCCGCGAAGTCCTCATTTTTTTCCCCGTTTGCTGCAGTTGAAAGTGCACCGCTTGATCCATTTTCGTTCTGTTATAGTTGAAAATGTGTTAAGTACAATTTTAATAACGAATCTTAACTCAGAACGAAAAAGTTAGCTCGTTTTTTTTAATTCTAACCTCAAAAAACAAACTGCAAATGTAGTAGAGTACCTTTGAGTTTGGGCCTCAGATTCAGTCAGTTATGTCAGTCGTCTAAAATCTGTGCACATTGACTAATCCCTTTCGCTATGCAAATTACGAAACATTTTCCAATTATTTGTTGTTACTATTTGTCTTTCAGTCTGCACAATTCACATTCCTATTTCGCATTCAACCAAACTATTTAGCGTTCGGACCGTCATCGTACTCCACTAAAGTTCGAAAAAACAGCTGTGACAACAAATCGAACAAAACATCTGTATACTTTTAAGTGCTTATGTACCTATCTGTAACATGTACAGCGTGGCGACGAATAACTGTTACCCAGTTTTTTTTGAGAAATAAATGGGTCCTTTATAAATTTTGCGAAAAAAAGTATTTTATTGTTAATTTTCCACAGATTTTACTTTAGTTGTATTAGTTAGTTTTTAAATTTTAATCCTTATCTACATTTGCCAGCAGTGTAAACTTTGAGAGAAAAGTTCATTTGGCACGCAAGTCTTTTTCAGGTGTATTTTTTCTTAGGCTTTGTATAAAAAAAGTACAAAAAAGAAAAAAACTGTATAAGGTTGGTCGAATGAATGGCCGTCCTAGTCACCAGTCCCGAGTCTATTAGATTTTTGAGTATGAGGCCTTATTTTGGACAGAAGGGGGAGTATAAGGGACTCAAAATGGAGAAAATTAGCCTATGGTTACAGAAGATATGGAACAAATTAACTGACGAGGACCTGCGTGCCAAATGAACTTTTCTCTCAAAGTTTACACTGCTGGCAAATGTAAATAAGGATTAAAATTTAAAAACTAATTAATACAACTAAAGTAAAATCTGTGGAAAATTAACAATAACATACTTTTTCGCACAATCTATAAAGGACTCTTCTATTTCTCAAAAAAAACCTGGGTAACAGTTATTCGTCGCCACGCTGTACTATTTATTCCTTTTGGTGGCACTCGCAAATCACAATCGATGTATGTTGCTGATAAGATTATTTCTCCACTTACTAAATAAGAAGGCACTTAAGACATTTTTTTTTCTATTTTATTGCTTACTTCCCTTCATTCAATCATACGCACAAGCATACAAATGTACATATGTACATATTTGCAATTCATTCATTTCTTGATTTGCTATTTGCACTTCATTTCCGCTTAGCTGCTATTTTTTTGTTTTTTTATACTCAATATACGATAGTCATTGTGGCTGTTGGACTTTTTGCTTATCTGACGCCGGCTTTACGGTGGTGCTTTGGGCGATTCGATATCACCAAACCCCCTTTCCTCCCACATGCTAGTATATACATACATACATGCATACATACACTTGCGCCGGGTTTGCATCTATTTACATACATTTCCTGAATGACTTACATATTTTCCATTTTTTTTCGGTTGATACACTGACAATTTTCTTGAATGAAGCGTCAACTTCTTCCAATTTCCACCACTATTTATCTCGCTCTACATACATATCTCTGTTGTTGTGTGCTTCACACAAATTTGGTGTCACGCCGAACTAAAGAAATTGGCGTCGCTAACGCAGCACCACCCACCCCGTTCTGTTCAATGGCCAAGTTTATTTCATTCATGTTCACTACGCGTATTCTTATCAATGAATTTTTGGCTTCGACGATGTTGTGTGCCAATGCTTTATGACTGTTTTTCTTTTGGCTCTAATAAAATTGCACTTTGTACGAAATAAAATTTGTATTTATTGTTTTTTTTTTTTGTAAGGGTATAGATTAATAAAAAAAATTACATTATTTTCGATACGATTTAAGAGTGAACTTCGTGTGAGCTGTTTATGGGCAAGTAAATGCTATGCACAAGTCATAAATATTCTACTTTCATTAAAAATGAAAAAAAAGGAAAAATCTTATGAAAATATTTTAGTAGCCGCACCTTGTTTTCGCAATATTTATGACACTTCCGTTCAGGTATTACGGCATACTCCGCACTATTAAAAATCAAGTGCTGTGAATGGATGTAGATACGTACATTGGTACATTAGGCAGTACCAGAAAAAAATTCAAATCTAAAGTATTTTTGTAAGGCAATTTCGTAAACAAATTTTTTGACATTTTCGGCATTTACAGCCGAAAAGTAAGTAGCGAGGAGGGTTTTCTTTTTTGTTCCAAATTCATTGACCTCAAGTACCCCGTTATTATTTTTATCAACCTAACGTATGTTTGTACCACCCTAATGTCTGTAAATTAAGACTCACCAAAAATCATTAAACTTTGTATTTCGATTATTCCAGTAGAACTATTTAAAAAAATTTATCACCGAAGAATGTAAAAAGTCGACCTCTATGTTTGGCCAAAAAAGAGCTTTGCAAAAATACTTTAGACTCGGGGGCATACGCGAACTTTTTTTTTGCTTGTAAGGTGATACGGTCTAATGTACATACAGTCAGCGTTAAAAAGATGCATACCCTGACGACTTGAAGATTTATTTATATTTTCCATACCACATTTTTCTTATTTTTTTATAAAAATATATGTAGTTCATGCAACAAGAAACAATTTCTTTCATTTTTTACAGAACTCAGGAAAATGCTGGAAATTTTCATAGAAATAGTTATTTTTAACGATTTGAAACTTACATTTCACTAAAATTGCATGGGCTACAAAACTCCATACACACAATTTTTCTAAGAAATCGAATTGAAAAATTAAATATTTCGATGATAACTATTTGATATTGCTTGCATCGTCCAGAGTTTTGCATGAAAAAAATATATATATATTTTTGTGGTTTAACTACATATATTTTTATAAAAAAAAATAAGAAAACTTTATTACGGAAAAAACCAATAAATAAATAAAATCGTCAAAACGTCAGCGTATGTTTACTTCTGACGCTGACTGTATGTATGTATATATCTTTACTGTTCTATTTATATACAAAGGTGTATATTCCTTTACATTTCGTGTGTTGAAAGACCCGTATGATATAGTCTATAGTATGTGAAGTCTACATTGTAGACACATCCATACTACATACATACATATTTCGCAAATTCTTCTACACTGTACTGCCGGTGGTTCTCGTTTCCTTTTTTTATACTTTTTCATACGATGAATGACTTTGACTTTCCGCTGCCAGAAGGAAAACAAAAAAAACAGAACAGAACAGAACAGCGGCACATTGCCTTTAATGCGAGCGATGTGCCAGCGTCGGCATCTCCATCGCCGCAAATGCCATGAATGGCAGGAAGTCACGTTTTCGCTTCCTCCGCTGGCGGCGTTTTCCATATGTTTTCTTTCATTTTATTTTTTATTTTTTTTTTTTGCTGACTTGCCAACGTTCCTTTGGCTTGTCACATTGATATTTCAATACAGATATCCATACATATTTATTTTGTTGGTATGTATACTATATTTCCGTTGAAGGTTTGCCTGATAATAACTTTTACATATTTATGTACATTTTTACTTTTACATATGTACATTTTTACCGCCATAACTAGTTTTTGGGCACTTGGCCAAAAAGTTAGGCATGCCACTGCCATTTTCATTCATTGATTTCACCAAGCGTTCGTTCGTGTTTAATATTTATTAAGCGTTTAATAAGCTATAAGAAAGCAGGCACGTCAAGGTCGCAAGGCGTGGTGGAATTCGATTTCATTGGCCATTGAGTGGTGTGAACGAGTGAGTGAGTGAGTAAGCGGCTAGCTGGCTGCCTCCTTGGATTTTACTTTTGTACATAAACAAAAAAAATTGGGGTGGGAAGAACTTTCGTGCAAACGTTTACGTTTTTAGGCATACTTACATTCATACATCTGTTAATAAAAATTTGCAATAAAATAGAAAATTGTGAAATCGCTTTATTTTTTTTTTGAAATTTTTACTTCAAATAATTTGTCTGGTTAAAAACATTTGTATAGTGGGTTGGCGTAATTAAGGCGTTTGTTTGCCTTGCGTGAAACTATTGCGATTTTTTTTAAACCAAGTTCATATTTTTCACGAACTTTCAACGCGCGAAAAATGAGAATGCTAACCGCATCGCGCATATGCAACTAGCTTCACATTCCTATAACCAGTGTTTATTCCCACTTGACATACTATATTCAAAATTTAATACCATTCCTCGCTCCTTTTTCAGGCGAAGCTAAAAACCTGAGTAGTCGCAATGCGGCCAATACCAGCTGTAGCACACAAGGCGTACGCGATGTGTACTGCACGATCGCGCTCGATCAGGAAGAAATTTGCCGCACCCCCACCATCGAACGCACATTGGCGCCATTTTTCGGCGAAGAGTATCAATTTAAAATACCACGACGCTTTCGCTATCTCTCCGTATATGTGTGGGATCGTGATCGTCACATGAAACAGGACAAGCCGATCGGTAAAATAGCAATTAAGCGCGAAGAACTGCATAAGTACAATCACAAGGATCATTGGTTTCCTTTGCGACCGGTCGATTCGGACTCGGAGGTGCAGGGCATGGCCCACATTGAGGTGCAATTCGAAGAGGTGCAACCGCCAATACATGAACAACGCATCAATTTGATGCGACCCAGCGAATATGATCGCAGTGACATCATTGAGGACATTAGCCATCGTCATCAACAGCAAGCTCATCAGAATGACTACAAAGAGAATAGTGAGTTGAGTAATATACAGCGTGGCTCGCTAAAATCGCGTGGTCTATTCGGCACACATACAGAGCATAGTACGAATTGGAAAAATGTATTGGCAATTCGGCATGCGCGTGTTGCAGTACGCTGTCTTGAATGTGTCGATTTGGCCAAGAAGAATGGCACTTGTGATCCATATGTTATATTTACCGCCACATATACGAACAAACGACAAGTGACGCGACGCACAAAAGTGCGTGAAAAGACCGTGAATCCTGAATTTGATGAGACGGTTTACTTTGATCTCTGCATCGATGCTGATAATCCGACAACCAAGTCGATTTCCGCACATCATGACGCCAGTACAACAAACTCCAACAAGGCCTATACAATTTATCCGCTGGGTGGTGCCGATCTTTGTGAGATATCTATTGCGCTGTGGCACCATTCGGCGGGCATGGCGGACAAAGTATTCCTTGGTGAAGTGAAGTTACCCATTTTGAATAAGCAGCAGCAAGTCGCTGCGCAACAATCCGCTTGGTACTTTCTGCAACCGCGTTCAGCTGGCGCATCGAATCGGTCGTTATCGTCGACGCCGCGTTCGTGCGCTACCCCACCTGGCACACGGCTCAGTTGCGATAACACTATCGGCACTTTGCGCCTAAAACTTCTCTACACTGCTGATCATGTCTTCCCGCTAGCTACATATGACGACTTAATGAACCTGCTGTTGGAATCGGTCGATCAACGACCCATTACTGTGTCTGCTGTCTCCATACTGGGCGAACTGGTGTCGAGTAAGACGGATATGGCGCAACCGCTGGTGCGTCTATTCACACACACCGGCCGTATTGCATCGATCATTAAAGCATTGGCCGATCATGAAATTTCCAACCTAACCGATCCCACGACGATCTTCCGCGGCAATACACTTGTTTCGAAAATGATGGACGAAGCTATGCGGCTATCGGGCCTACCATATCTACATCAGACGCTACGACCGGTGCTGGCGCAAATATTGGCCGAAAAGAAGCCCTGCGAAATAGATCCGTCCAAAGTGAAGGATCGCTCGGCAGTCGATACAAATTTGAATCATCTGCAAGACTATGTGGAGCGTGTCTTTGATGCAATCACAAAAAGTGCGGTGCGCTGTCCGAAGGTGCTGTGCCAGATATTTCACGATCTACGCGAATGCGCTGGCCGACATTTCCCACGTAATCATGAAGTGCGCTACTCAGTGGTTTCCGGTTTTATATTTTTGCGCTTCTTTGCGCCAGCTATACTAGGACCCAAGTTGTTCGACTTGACGACAGAGCCATTGGTGAGTAGAATCGCTTGCGAAGTATTAAATTAAGCAAGAAGTGTAACAAATTTTTTTTTTTTTTTCATTTTTATTTTGCGTACAGGATCACCAAACGAATCGTACACTGACGCTGATTTCTAAAACTATACAATCACTTGGTAATTTGGTGAGCTCACGCTCTTCGCAACAGCCAAACAAAGAAGAGTACACCGGTCAGTTGTATAAGCGCTTCTACACGGATAAGCATGTCCAAGCGGTGAAACATTTCCTGGAGGTAATATCCACACCGGGCGAAGATTCGCGACTGTCGGGTGATTCAGCCAACAGTTTATTGCCAGTTGTGTGCCCTGCGGACGGTACACTCGAACCAGTATTACTTAAAGAGGGGTGAGTTTTCACTGGACTAATGTTGAAAATGTATAAAAAGTTTAAATCTTTTGTGGTGTACTGCTGATATTTTACTAATAATTTTTTATTTTTTTTTTTGCTTTCTTTATCTTGGGAAAAATATTTACACCTATGCACTCTTAACACTACTTATACCTATTCACCGCAACCAACGAAAAATCGTTGCTAACATCCACCATTAACATGTGATCGTACTGAAAATATAATTAATAATTTTACTAATATAGCGATGGGTAAGGATTTTTTTTCTTAGTTCTTTAGAATGTTGAAATAATTTAGAGCATAGTTTTTTACTTGTCAAAATTTGTTTGTTGACGTCCTATTATGGTTCAAAATCCTCAATTAAATATTTCGCTGACCTTTTTAACGTTGTCAACGAAATAAATATTAAGTAAATTTCTCGCCGAAATTATGTCCACAAAAATTAAATTTTATTTATTATGCCGGATTCAACACTGCGAACTTGGCATTAAATATTACATTTATAACAGCCGTTGGTTTCAAGACGGCATTTTTTAAATTTCCCAAATTGTCATTTTCATCCCATGTGGAAACTCAGCATTATCCCTTTACAATTTTATATAAGAAACAAAACCTCTGGGGTAAAAGTCGAAACTCATTTTAAAATGTGCCATAATTTTAAAAAAATCTTCGGCGAAAAATCTCTCCAAATTAGGGCTGGGTGTTCTATTCACATTTTTTTAATATCCGGATAATCTGTATATTCGAATATCTGATTAACCGGACATCCGAATAGCAAAATTAAAGGATATTAACCGGATATCTGGATAACAAAATGAACGGATATTAACTGGATATCGGGTTAACAAACTGGATATTCGGATGTTATCCGTTTACACAAATATCGGGATATCCGACGGCTCGTATAGTCCTTGTCCTACTGCGAATTTTAGTAACGTTTGCCAAAATACACTAAACTTTTTTAAAATCACTACTAACCAGGTGTTAATTTCCAGTAATGATAAAGTAGCCTTTGTTCGATTATTTTCAATTTTATTGTAACGAAAGCTTTATGTGGCAGAGCCTTTACGCTTTGCAATTTTCTATTAATTTCACCTCAAACATACACACATACACACCCACACAAATTTTAATTTAAAACGTTATGCTCACACACACTTTTGCACATATTTAGGATGATGACGAAATATCCACAGTGTCGTAAACGTTTCGGCCGTAGCCGTTTCAAGCAACGTTACTTTCGCCTAACAACAAAAACCCTCAGCTATGCCAAATCGAAGGGCAAACAACCCATCTGTGATATTCCATTGTCGGAGATTGAGCGCGTCGAGCAGCTAAACGAGAAGAGTTTTAAGATGCAAAACTGTTTTAAGGTGAGTACTCGCAAAAAGACTGCCAATAAATTGTACCCACATAATGCCCACTTCATAATATACATATGTACATACATACATACATACTTAAATATATACAAATGTATATAAATTTAAAGCATTTACTATGTTGTAATTACGCGTAATTGTTGTTAAGCCTTATTTAGTTGACAATGTCATAATACCATTGCTGCTCTACGAGTAAATATATGGTTCGGGCCGATTGACTGACAACACCGACTTGTTTTATACGTATTATTGTTGACAAAATTCCAACACCACATCTAATAAAAAAAAAGAAAAAGTGACTTGTGCAAAACCACTTGAGCGGCGCATAAAATTTCGCACTCAATTGTGGGCGCCACACCACACATATGTATGTATGTATGTATGTAGACGAACACACACATTTGTCATACTCGTTTGTTAATTCATCAATAAATATTAATTATTGTGGGAGGCGGCATTTAGCGGTTGACTTCTTTTAATATTTAAGGCGGTCGCGCATGTGTCGCCTCTTTTGTTGACTATAAATTTACTTTTGTGTGATGTTGATAGTTTTTGTTTGTTAACTTAACTTGTTATGCTTAGAAAAAAAAAAGAGAAAAACTTAAAAGTGTTTTAATAGAATATAATAATGCAAGCGAATACTTAATACATGCATAAATAAAAAAAAAAAAGTCATATAACTATAATAGTGTGGCGCAACAGACCTTGAGCATTTAGGCCAGGGGTCTCTTGCTTTTTTATTATTCTAAATGGTGGATGGTTCGTTTTTTTTGAAGAGCTGTTTCAAGGCAGATTATTTTACGAACTGTGCGCGCACTACACACCGTTCTTTTAAGATTTTAGGTATGTCGCAATATTTTTTGCAAATATGTATGTGAAAGCGATCTGTTACCGTGCCAAATACAAATGTTAGATTTGTTAAATTTTATCTTATATGAAATTCATACGCGGGAACATATCCATTCTTTGTATTGTCCACATTTTTTTTTTTTCAATAAATATGGTGAGCGATGTCTCTTTGCGTGGTTACATTCAATACAACAGTGCAAATTCATGTAAAAAATATTTTTTATATAAAATATGCAAATTTGGGTGTGGCTGTTTAAAGCGCCAGCAAACCCACAGATCAAATATTTTCACTATATATTTGCATTTGCATGCAAGCAGTGAAGGAATTATATTTGCCAGCGTCTGCATACTTTTTGCTTTTATTATCTTTATTGCAGTGCGGAGCACGGAAATAAAACTTTTCCCTTTGTAATAAATGCTTTTGTAAAGTTTAATGTAAGCAGCATACTATCTAAGTATATACAAATATACATATGTACATACATACACATAAATGGGTATAATTATGTATGCTTGTAATTTCAAAAAAAAAAAGAAATCCTACACTAAAAAAAAAAACTTTTTGCGTAAACTCGCGTTTTTTTTTAATTACCCCACGATTTCACCTATTTTAAGCGCTCAGACAAACAATGCAGCTGCTAAGTCAGCCGCAACAGCTAGTTGTACGTTTTTACTTTTCTTCGAATGAAATGAAGATTTACATAAATTCTTTTGCTATAATTAAAAATGTACATTGTTTCGCATGATTCCCACACGTTTGTTATCTTTCTGGTATGGCAAGCGAACATAATTTTTTGCTGATGGTTTGCAAGCATTGCGAGAAGATATATAAAAGCACAAATAAAACAATATAGTATATATATATTAACATAATTTCAATGCCCACAGTAGAGTAGCGCGCTGCTTTAACATACACATGTACACACATACATATATATTTAATTGTTATTTATGCTAGCTCCTCTGCATCATCGCAGCACTATGCCGCCACTATGACAAAACACTACGCCACCACATCAAACACTCTACATACATACATACATCTATTCGCAGTGAAATCATCGTTTCACGCTGTTTTACGATTTGTATGCGAATTATGTTGCACATTGTGTTGTATTGTGTTATTAGCCATTTGTGTGCAAAATATGCCAGGCAGTAGTGTATTTGCAATACCAATTCGTAGTTGTTGCAACAATAACCTAATGAGCATCGCGTTTCACACGAAACTAAATTCGAAGATGTAGTGTGATTCTTAGTGCTCATGCAGGAACATTGATAGCACAGGTGCCTGCATTCTCCAGTGCTTTTCCATAGCCTCTTTATATTTGCCACATGCTGGCTTGCACGGTGTTAACACTTTCCCCTGGCACAAATAACTTTCGTTGAATAATTAATTTGATTTTATTAAGTGGTGAACTTGAAAGTTCTGCCTGTGGTCACAGACCCAATGCGTTCCTAAATTACTGGGCCCTTACTCTGTAGTTCGAAACGAAAAGAAGTTCTATTCGAATGCCTAACTCTTTTATAGTACCAATCGTTCGAATTCGAACAAATTTACTATCGATTCGAACTACAGAGTAAGGACCCTGGAAAAGCTGAATTACATATGTATCTATGTACATATCTAAATAGGTATATCCATTTTATTTTGAATGTGAATTTCCTAATTCCATACATACATTGGATGTACTTTCGAGGGACTTTATATTTACAACCTTTTTTTTAGGAACAACTGTGAGATTTTCTAAAAAAATATGTATTCTACGCTGAAGTTTTCCTAAGCGTTCTTCATGAGGCTCATGATGCTAATAGTGATTCTGTTACAAATTCTTATATACTATGTATAGCGGCCACTGTGGCAGCCCGCAGGCAGGACTGGGTTCGAGCAACATCTAAATTAGAAAAAGTTTTCTTTTCTCGCCGCTACTACATTAGCAAAGCGGATAGCATTAAAATGTCGCACAATGTCTGACGCGCCGTAAAATTTTCTTTTTACTTTTATATTCGCCCACGCTTGCTCTAGTGAGACATTTATTAAATTATTACCCTGCAGGAAATGGAATTAGTTTGTAGCTAACTATTAGCTAACTAGCCGTAACTAACTACTTTTGAAGGGCGATGGCCGCAAAATAGTGAGAACTGGTTTCCTCTGCATTAGATGTCAGCTAACTTGTAGCTAACTATTTGTGGACATTTTACCAATTTTTTATATTTTTATTTATTTATTTTATTTAACATTACATATTTGCTTATTTTTTTACATGTTCTTTTGTGGGGGGGGGTCCCACATTAATGTAAAATTTCGATCTTTACTTTATTTGTCCTGAATTCGAAAAAGATTATGCGAAGTGCAGAAAAAAGTGCATTGAAAGTATTTTTTGTACCAGGATATTTAAATAGAAACTTGTAGAAAAAACCAACTGCCGATAACGTCTGCATGACTCCTGCACGACTTTACAACTAACTTAAAGTTAGTTTTGTCATAGCTAATTAAAAATTAGTTATTTATCGAAATCCCGCAAAAAAAGCTAACTAGAAGTTTGTTATTTTAATCAATTGATAATTTTTTTCTGCACGGTAGCGTGTCAACATCTTGACACACCATCTGTTTTACAAATATGTTTCTTTTTTTATGTATATGTATGAATGTACAGACGCTGCGAAGAAGAGGCGATACAAAGAAAATGCTTTAACGACGAAAGTTCCCTTTCATTCGTCGCATCACACACACCTACATACATACATACTCATTCAAACCCAATTTCACTTTCCTATAACAGCAAATTTAATTTTATTTTCTCCCTTCCCTTTCTTTTTTTGTTTGTTTTCTTCTTTTTTTTTTGCTTGCAGATCATTCGCAAAGAGCGTTCATTGATTGTACAAGCAACGAATTGCGTGGAGGAGCGTGAATGGATCGATTTGTTGCACAAGATCTGCCTTACAAACTCCATCCGCATGCAGTATTTCCATCCGTCCGCCTTTGTGAATGGCGTCTACAGCTGTTGTTCGCGTTCCGACGAAAATGCGCCCGGCTGTCGCACTGTCTCTGCCGAAGCGATCAATTACTTTCAAATGGATCTTGTCACCTCACTCGATCCCGCGCTTGATCTGCAACGAATTCATACGCTGATTATGTCGCATATGACACAAATGGCTGCACCGCTTGATCCCATTGCCTTCCATCATCTGCCGCAGGGACACAACCCACTTGGGCCCACATCATTGGCGTTGCAGCAGCATTCAACAGCCGCATATGCTGAATTTCAGGCGACAATCGAACAATTGCGCAAAGTCGCCTACGCCATCGATCGCGATCATCGCAACTACAAGGCGGGCATTGCGCGGGAATTGAAATATGGCAGTCGACAGGCGCCGATTGGCGATGACAACTACTTACATATGATGCATGCAGCAGGTCATTTCAATTTGCAACAACATCAGCAACAACAACAACACCAGCAGCAGGTCGTGTTGCACTCACAACAGCAGCAACCACAGCAAGTTTTGCCGCAAATGCAACATGTGCGTGCATATCCATATCAGCTGAAATAGCTGATGAAATGAGGTGAAGTGCATGCGAAGACGATGCAGCATTAGAAAGAGAGACAGAGAGAGAGTGGTGAAACGTGTAGAAGAATGCATGCATTTGATATGATATGAGAAAAAATTCGAAATCGCCTTATCAAGGGCTTCACATTGGATGATATGTACCTAAACACTTGAAAAGCAATAGGTACTTACCAAGAAAAGTTACATATTTATAAATATTAATGTATGTACATACTATAAAGGCAGCTATAACTGAGCGTAACGCTCATCCTTTGTTCTGGCGTTTAATTGAAGCTGCTGGTAATCTTACCCTATACCCAAGCAACTAACACAAATACCAAGCAACCAATACTACAAGCAAAAGTTCAAATTCTGTATAAAAATTATGTTCTAAATATTTTTATATACATAGGTACATTATATGTACATATGTAATTGCGTACATCTATTAAACAAATACTTTGTACGAATTATTATTAGTATACTAACTAGAAATATTCGCATTCGTATACACGCATTCGTATGAACGGACATGTGAGACTATTTATTTTATATACAATGCTATTAAATAAATAATACATATACCTACTTATATTATATTAATGTATACATTTAAATCGAAGTTAAGTGAAAAGTAACTGCGAGCGTTAGTTCTAAATTAAACGCTTTGTAGTATGTGTACATCGTATATACCTACATACTTATGTACATATGTACGTAAGTAATAAGATATACATATGTATTTATAATCTATGTTAAACTAACAATCCTGGGTTAGACTAAATTTTTCGCCTCAATTCACAGAGGCAAAGCAAAAGCAAAAGCATAGGTAATACTGTTAAGAGATGAACTCCAATTTACGGCATATACATACATACATACATACATATGTTATATGCATGCTCTAAGCTAAAATACATTTAAATGAGTAAATGGACTTTTGTATAATAGAATGTTAGTTTAAGAAAAGTGAAGTTCTGACTATTACAAAATGAAATTATAAAAATTCTATAAAACTATGTGTAGGCAAAATTGTAAAGAAAACGGGAAATTCATGAAACGTAGAGGTCTATGGCGCATTCTGCAAATAAGCTTTATTTTTTTATTTTTTTTAATAATGCTTTTAATATTGAGTGCTTTTGATTAACTTTTCAATGCATTCTACTGAATCAGTGAATAATTAAAAATTAAAAATAGAGCTGACTCTTGTTCTTATAAAAATCGATTATCAGCTAAAAAAAACTGCTAATACAAAACTTTTTATTTTCGATTCAAATAAAAAAGAATGCGTAGGCAATAATTATAAGCATTGCTAAATAAATTATAAAAATGGCATATGTATGATTTTTATATATGAACCCTGTGAGGCATCTATTTCAGATTGAAAACGAAAAACACTTTGTATGCTTTAGCATTCTCGTCCACGAATATATTGCATAAGTTTAACTGCAAATGATTTTATAACTAAAATTATTTTCATGTGTTTTTAGATTATCGCACTATTTTATTTTGAATTCGTATTGGCCAGCATTAAATTTGCACATATTACTAAATTTTTATATTAAAGTAGGCGCATTTCCCATTTGTATGCTTAGAGACTGAACGGTTGTATGAAGGATATTTGAGGATTAAAATTTTTAATATTAAAAAGTGCTTATTTGCAGAAAATTTTATTTTTTAAAATATTTTTACACCATATTTTTCACAATTTGTCAGCTACACACGATCGAAAGAAATGTGTTTGGTATTTTTTATGTTTTTTGTTTTCGTTTTAAATACATGAATTAATTTCTACATTGGCAAATACTTTGCATTGGAAGCCAAATCCCATTACTAAATATTTTCCAGAATACGTAAATTTGTGGAAATACATTCATAGAAGAGGCACACTATTTTTTATGCATACTATGTAATTGCATATTCCGAAAGAAAAATTGAATTGCCTGACACTCGATTTGTATTAATTATCTGTTTTCATGGCAAATTGTTTCTACATACATACATTCATTTACTTTATGCATAAACTTCCAGTTAAAAACTATTCGTTGTTTTTAGTGCTTGTATTTATTTTTTTTTTTTTAATTTTCTACTGTACAAAAGATACTTTGGAAATTTGCTGTCTTCCCATTTGCGTCTTCGCCGCGTTATTTATCGAGATTTCTTCCATACATCTAACATAATTTCTTCATTTGTTATTTTTCTTAAAAGGAAAGCATTCCAGATCATTCGTTTTCGTTGAATTAATTTATTTTCGTTTTTTTTTTTTTATTTAAACTTTTTCGGAACATTTACATGTAATATTAGTAAACTCAAACTTTGCTTAATTATTTTTAAGGTTGTAAATACGTATAAATTTACATTAAACGTCGCATTTTTAATATCCGAAACAACGAATCCATTTACACACGAATAGCCCATAATTGATGAATAGTAAGAAAGGCGTTAAAAATATATTTTAAATTAAATTTATTTAAAAAGCAGTAATTCATTTATCGGCGTTCATTTGCTCGTTGCATTTTTAATTTTATGCTCGTAAGTTGTAGCAATTAATTATTTGAATTAGTGAATTTTTTTTATAATTTTTAGTTAATGTAAATTATTACTGTTAACGGTAGGCTTTAGCCTTATTTGCTACCTGCTGTTATTTTTATTACTATTACAATCATTAAATATTCATTATTAGTACTACTATTGAAACTAAGTTTTTTATTAATTTAATACATATATGTTTAAGTTTGTAATTGGTACAAAATTTTTTTAATAAAAAAAATCCACAACTTGGCATTTACGACTTGTAAACACAAGATTGCATTTTTTCATACATTCTTCGTCAGAGATAGCGGCGATGCAACATAAGTAGTGTTGATTTTTTTTTTTTATAATAATTTAATCAACATGCGCCAGTGCACATGCTATACCGTAAGTACTTCCTAGAATCTTACCACTGCACGAAGTTCACTAATTTCATTATAGATTTCTTTTGATTACGCTCGTATGTATGTGGCTTTATACATATGCATCTGTTAACCCCTCCAAGAAACACCAAAGGTTTTTATCTCACTCTTTATGCAAGCTGCAAAATTCTAAAGCAATCGGTGTGGTAGTAGAAAGGCGTACACGCCTCCATGCATACTTATGTATGTATGAATTAGTGTTTTTATAAGTAAACATTCCTTTACACAACTTTTA